ATCAGATTCAATGATCTATGCTAAGCTACAGCTAAAAGTGCTACCGCCAGACCCGGAGATCGGCTGAATGGATTAGAAAACAGTAAAACTCAACTGTTTAACTCTAGGGGAGTTGGAAAATGAGCCTATTTTCAAAAATAGTGGAGTGTTCTTTTAAAGCTAAAATATGGCAAACAAACTTGCGTTTTCTCAAACTGTGATCGTAATAGGTAAGCGATAGCCAATGGAATTTCCGCTTGTGCATTAGTTTTGTCTACTACTGGCAGTGGCTTCTGCTTATGGGTTTTATGTGTAGTTTGGGCTTCTGATATTAAAGGTTAAGTATGTTATTTTTGCACTTCTAGTGTCACTAAATGAAATTGGAGAGTTAAAACATTATTATTATTATTATTAGGGCTGTACGATTAATCGAATGCGATAGTCATGCGCATCTTGTCAGTAAAGCCGGTTCTGTGATTAGTAGTAAATCTCCATCACATGCTTTCAGATGGAGCAGCATTTACTACACAGACAGTGCATTCCAAACGGGATATATCACCCTCTGAAGGGATTCTTTGCATGATGACAGCGCCTCCGTATGGGCATGGGATGATGACACCGAATGGCACTTCAAGAAACAGTTGTTTGGTCCCCTACACCCTTCAACCCTTCGAAGCTCTCACTCCGGAGGGTAAACCCTTTGACGGGATTAGGGCATAGGGATGAGCCCTTCCGAATGGAATGCAGGGAGAGCCGTAGTTCACTGACAAGCTACGCAAAATCGCGTTCATAATCGCAGACGATATAATCGCGCGATAATGAAATCAAAGATATCGTTCTGCGATTATGAAAGCTGTTTGCGTAGCTTGTCAGTGAACTACGGCTCTGTGTAGTAAATGCTGCTCCATCTGAAAGCACATGAAAATATGACATTTAATAAAATATTTTTACTCCAAACCCACTTCATAATGTCAGTTGACGGTTTTAAATAATTCCTTCTGAGAGGTGATGTGGCTTCTTACACAGAATAAGGCACGCAATATTTCATACGCTGTGTCTCATTTAGAAGGCTGCGCTCTCCGGAGGTCGCATTCGAAGGCTGCATACGTCATCGAGGCGGTCTCATTTCAGAAAAGCAAGTAGGACACTCCGAATGCGACTTTCAAATGCAACCTTCTTTCACAGGAATTCGGAGGATGCATGAGGTGTATCCTTCGCTGCTACAGATAACCCACAATTCTTTGCGTCGCCGTAAACAACCGTTGTTAATTAGAAAAATGCCGGCGCCGGCAGATGTACACACAAGCGCAGATGTGGTGTTTACAACTTACCTTAAATCGGCTCTGGTAAAAACAGATAAACTTTGTTCTTAATATCCTTCTCCTTTTTTTCCCTAACGGATGTGTGTTGTACGTACGCTGCAGCTCCTGAAACATTGAACAAAATAAAACAAGTAAAAGCATTTTTTTTTTCAAATTACTTTCCAAATTTAGAAATAATTTTAGTTAATTTAAGTAGTGTGAGAGCCCAACGATGCTCTAAATGTGATGGCATAGCAACGTGATACTTCCCGTTTCCTTTTCCGCCTGTCCTACGAAGGCCGTCTCGTTTAATTCTAGGTTGAGGACACTTCGGAGATGTTGTATGTACTGTTGCAACATATGTTTAAGTGTAATGATTTATTTATGACAACACTATACATTTGATGTTTATCCAAAGCAACTTGCATTCCATTGAAGGTAAACAAGTTTGTGCATTTACTGTGGGAACTATAGTGAGACACTCAAGAAAAAAAAACAACAACAACACTGACAACTGAATATTGCTCTTTGATAATTATAATTAACAAATAATGCTGGATCAATACCAGCCTTTGCAGTGGCTTTTTGTTTCTTGAAGGCCACTGAGGAGGTGAACGTCCTCCGGTAGGAAGCTGTCATGATAAAGTGAAGTTAGCTCATTTGAGGACTTGAAGTGAAGAAAAGATACCCAGGGGGAGACCTTTTCTCTTTATTTGTGGCTCTCAGGGTGAAAAATATAGAAACTCTTTGGTCATTTTTGAGCGAGATGTTAACTGTCTTATCAGATTCAATGATCTATGCTAAGCTACAGCTAAAAGTGCTACCGCCAGACCCGGAGATCGGCTGAATGGATTAGAAAACAGTAAAACTCAACTGTTTAACTCTAGGGGAGTTGGAAAATGAGCCTATTTTCAAAAATAGTGGAGTGTTCTTTTAAAGCTAAAATATGGCAAACAAACTTGCGTTTTCTCAAACTGTGATCGTAATAGGTAAGCGATAGCCAATGGAATTTCCGCTTGTGCATTAGTTTTGTCTACTACTGGCAGTGGCTTCTGCTTATGGGTTTTATGTGTAGTTTGGGCTTCTGATATTAAAGGTTAAGTATGTTATTTTTGCACTTCTAGTGTCACTAAATGAAATTGGAGAGTTAAAACATTATTATTATTATTATTAGGGCTGTACGATTAATCGAATGCGATAGTCATGCGCATCTTGTCAGTAAAGCCGGTTCTGTGATTAGTAGTAAATCTCCATCACATGCTTTCAGATGGAGCAGCATTTACTACACAGACAGTGCATTCCAAACGGGATATATCACCCTCTGAAGGGATTCTTTGCATGATGACAGCGCCTCCGTATGGGCATGGGATGATGACACCGAATGGCACTTCAAGAAACAGTTGTTTGGTCCCCTACACCCTTCAACCCTTCGAAGCTCTCACTCCGGAGGGTAAACCCTTTGACGGGATTAGGGCATAGGGATGAGCCCTTCCGAATGGAATGCAGGGAGAGCCGTAGTTCACTGACAAGCTACGCAAAATCGCGTTCATAATCGCAGACGATATAATCGCGCGATAATGAAATCAAAGATATCGTTCTGCGATTATGAAAGCTGTTTGCGTAGCTTGTCAGTGAACTACGGCTCTGTGTAGTAAATGCTGCTCCATCTGAAAGCACATGAAAATATGACATTTAATAAAATATTTTTACTCCAAATAATGTCAGTAATGTCAGTTGACGGTTTTAAATAATTCCTTCTGAGAGGTGATGTGGCTTCTTACACAGAGCAATATTTCCGCCCTCCGGAGGTCGCATTCGAAGGCTGCATACGTCATCGAGGCTGTCTCATTTCAGAAAAGCAAGTAGGACACTCCGAATGCGACTTTCAAATGCAACCTTCTTTCACAGGAATTCGGAGGATGCATGAGGTGTATCCTTCGCTGCTACAGATAACCCACAATTCTTTGCGTCGCCGTAAACAACCGTCGTTAATTTGAAAAATGCCGGTGCCGGCAGATGTACACACAAGCGCAGATGTGGTGTTTACAACTTACCTTAAATCGGCTCTGGTAAAAACAGATAAACTTTGTTCTTAATATCCTTCTCCTTTTTTTCCCTAACGGATGTGTGTTGTACGTACGCTGCAGCTCCTGTTCCAAAAAAAAAAAAAAAAAAAACACTGCTCCAAGTTCCAAGAACTGCATAGCATTATTTTTGACAGTTTATACGTTTTTAATAACAAATGACAATAACAGATTTTGGGATAGCCTTAACGTTGCTTTAATTCATGATTTTGCCGTAATTCGCAGAACATAAAATTTTTTCGTTGAGTCATGGCGCCATCTTGTGGTGTGATGAACTGAAACTCAAGGAAGCTGGAAGTAGTATTTCTACTCCGATATTCCCATTTCTAACTTTGTCTCGAATGCAGCTGTGGTGTTTACAACTTACCTTAAATCGGCTCTGGTAAAAACAGATAAACTTTGTTCTTAATATCCTTCTCCTTTTTTTCCCTAACGGATGTGTGTTGTACGTACGCTGCAGCTCCTGAAACATTGAACAAAATAAAACAAGTAAAAGCTTTTTTTTTTTTTTATTACTTTCCAATTTAGAAATAATTTTCCTTCATTTAAGTAGTGTGTAGCATAGCAACGTGATACTTCCTGTTCCCTTTTCCGACCGTCCTACGAAGGCCGCCTCG